ATGTGTGGTAAGCGCACTAAAGTCCCATTTCACAAAATAGCAGTAATATAATATGGTTGTAAACAAGTTTTGGTTTAGGTTATGGGCCTCTTCCCAAATATAGTAATACTTAACGGTGTTGACATTATGTCCGACCCGAGTACCCGGATTAATTTCAGCAGTTCTAATAATAGATTTCTGCCGATGAATGAAAAGCACTATTCTTTATTGACATAAACACTAGACAGGGTAACAAAATTCACTGTTGGAATGGTGATTGAATACAGTTCATAATGATCCATTTCTCTTTCTGAAATATCATGTGAATTATACAATGTATCCTTCTTAATTCGTGATACAAAGTCTTCACAATTGCGTTTTCATCCATTAAAACATGGCCACTTGAGCAGTTCCTTACTCTCTGTATAAATATGTACAGCGCAGTTCTTAGGCATAGGCAAACTAGGCGACCGCCTTGGGCCCCACTGCCAAGGGAGCCCCGACGGGTTCCTTTTTAAGCCTAAAACTTGCAATTCCGTATATTTCATAAGTAAACATTATCTCTAGTGGTGGAATAATCAATATGGTTATTGAATACCAGGGAGCTAAGGGGAGACAGTGACGAAGGCAGAATGGATGTTCCGCAGTTGAAGGTGGTGTTTTCTCTTCAGCTCTGGGTGAGCTCCGCTCCCCGGACCCCTTCCAGGGCCCCCTACCTGCGCTCCACGCCTAGGTCCCCCACAAACCTAAGAAACGGCTAAGTACATTGACATAAAATAAGTAAATGTCCATCAAATATTCTTATGTGACTGTAGTATTTTCATCAGAGCAAAAGTATTCTGACATGTATTGTTATAATTGTTTCACTTTTATTTTTAGTGAATTTAAAACTGTATTCAGATTCAGAATGTGGTCTTTGCTTTTTGTTTGACTGGTGCGGGGTGTAGAGCAGGAGGTCTTGATCAAACGTCTACTGGATGAATTGAAACATATGGAGGAACATACTGGGTTCAGACACGCTGGTTTGAACCACATGGAGGAACACACGGGTTTCTGATACATGGAGGAATACACTGCTTACAGACAAAACACATGGAGGAACACACTGCTTTCAGACAAACACATGGAGGAACACACTGCTTTCAGACAAACACATGGAGGAACACACTGCTTTGAGACAAACACATGGAGGAACACACTGGGTTCAGACACATGGAAGAACACACTGGTTTCACACACAAGGAGGAACATTTGGTTTCAGACACATATGGCAGAACGCATTGGTTTCAAACAAACATGGAGTGACTCACTGGTTTCAGACACATATGGAGGAACACATTGGTTTCAGACTAACATGGAAGAACACTTTTTTTTTCAGACAAACGTGGAGAAGAAAATTGGTTTTCGAAACACGTGAAAGAACACATTGGTTTCAGACAAACATATAGGAACATGCTGGTGTCAGTCAAAAATGGAGGAACACACTGGTTTCAGATATACATGAAGGAACAAACGCTTTGGTTTCAGACACATACGGTGGGACCCACTGGTTTCAGAGACAAATCGGGGAGCTTACTGGTTTCAGATACACATGAAGGAACGCAATGGTTTTGGACACACATGGACGAACACAATGATTTCAGACACACATGAAGGAACACAATGGTTTTGGACACATATGGATGAAAGCATGATGTAATTATGAGTTTAATACCACGCAAAATAAAATGTATTACTAATAACTGCGCTGAATTAGAAAGTGCGTTGTGTGCGTACTATTTGAAAACAGTCTAAATTTAAATATGGTGTAATATATCGGTGTTATAAGACGTGGTGGGACATTAAATTATTAATTATGATCTAGGGCTTCAAAAGGTGAGCGGTTGCGTACCTTGCCTGCCCCAGCCCGGGGGTTGGGGGGTGTATCTATAAAGTGCGTTACTTGAATACATGTTTTTTCGCGTAACATTATTAAGAGGGGGGGGGGAGTTAACACACTGCCCTCGCCATGGTCTGGCGGGCTGTAACTAGTTCTAGTATACTCCTTGCTCATGTGTTCTATAATTACTAATAAACTCAATTTAATTCAATGACTGAGAAAATGTACTGGAATTAAAGAGCATTTTTATTAATTAAAACTAAGCACGAACTTCACATACTTACATCTCAATCTGTGAGATTTTGAAAATCAATAAGTCATTGAGTGATTTAGAGTAACTTTGAAAGCTTGCTTTATAAAAAAAGTGTTAATTTAAAAAAAAAAATTATAAGTTACTAGCAAATATACCCGACTTTACTCGGGTTTGAATTCGACACCACCCCCCAACTATAAAGCATTTTATTAAGGGGCACGTAAATTACGGCATTGTCAAAAATACTTCCCTAATTACCAATTAAAATTAAAAAAGTTCTCCCATTAACAGTGAGCCTCGGGAACAATCCCATTTCAGTTAAACTTCAAGATGAGCACAGACAAAAAACATGCAGCAGAAATGCGTAAAAACCTGAATTGTTACCTAAGCCATGTTGTTTAGCTTTGCATCCTAGGAATAAAATATATTTTAGAAACTCCGACTCTCATTTGGAACGTTCTAGGAACTTCAAAAAATGTTTTCAATCTGATTTCATAAAATTTGAGGAAAAACCTAGAGACGTATATAGACATAAGAAGCATAAGAGGACTTTTATATATTCTTAAAAACGTATTACAAAATCAAACGTCATAGAAGCTTCAAGAAAAATTAAGATAAAAAATAAGATCCATTAATTTATGTAGGAACGCATTGGATGGTGGTCAAAATTTGTTTTCAGAATTAGTGCTCTATATGACATAAAACTGAAAGTCTATCCCTCAGCATTAGAATAAAATATTTCGTTGAACTGAAGCGGGCGCTATAAGCAGTGGAGGATCTAAGGCTTTTGCCATTCAGGAAGGGTCAAGAGGTTTACCCATTGTTACAAACTATGTGTTGTAATTATGTATGTTCCGTTCGTAGTTTTACAGTACTCGAAAAACAGAGCCCCCAATTGTTAAAAGTATGGGTGTTTGAAATGCTTTATGTTTGTATTAACAAACAAAGGTCCCTTTCCTCTACGTTAGATTAGTACTGCTACAATGGCTATGTCTAGGGTACGATTAATTTCCTGATGAAGTATTCTACACTAATCCTACTTCACACTCACTCTATCATTCAAGGAAACTCTCACTAGCCCTCACTTGCAATTCTAGTAATACTTTAACTATACTAATAAAACAAGAGTGGTTCAGCCCACAAATAAATATTTAATTATAAAAAAACAGAACTATCAGCATACACATTACATATACTATACACATAAACAGGATAACAAGATACTGCCCAATATTAATGCATAGTAGGCTCTCAATGGCGATCTGGTCAAGTAAGCAAGTTCCACACACACACACAGCAGCCCTCTTCTCGGGTCACAACGTACTGCGGGGTTGGGCGGCTTGACTGCGTAAGTGTCTCCAGTCACTGGCACTGCCAGGATGTAGGTGCCGACTTTGAACTTTACCATGGGTTACACTCACACACAGTATATGCTACCGTCTTGTTTGATTCCTTTGACTTCTCTTCTGCTAATAACTGCGCCTCCTTTACTGAACTGTACTAACTTTAGTTCCAGATATTATTTATTGAACTATTACACCTCTGACCAAATGTTATTTACTTTACAAATACTCTCTGGTCAAATATTCTTTACTGGCCAAATGTTACTTACTGTAACTTGCTGCACGTAATTTACTACATGTACTTTACTGCCTATAATTTACGGTACTTTACTTCATGTAATTTACTAGGCTGGTAAATTACCTAGGTGTAATTTACTTTACTTTACTTCAGGTAATTTACAAGGTGTAATTTACTTTACTTTACTTCAGGTAATTTACTAGGTGCAATTTACTAGGTGTAATTTACTTTATTTTACTTCAGGTAATTTACTTTACTGGACAACACAATCAGGATAAACACACTTCATCAGCTAATTATGCCAGCCAGGCTCTTCTGACATAATTCAGGTAAGAGAGGCCGATGCAGGATTAAGGGGTTCAATATATATTCTAAGTTTGGCGTGCTTGTCCCGCATTCAAGTGTGGCATTCCAGAGTCGTGTTTTTACATGACTCACAAGCGTGGCTTGGGATTCCGCGTTAGTTTTTAAGCATTGGTCATCAGAGTGACAACTCAGAGTTGGGACGCTGGACAAGAATGAGTGCATTGTTTAAACTGGGTCATGGCCAAAGTGAATAAGTTAAATTCAATTGTTATTTTAGTCTACTTTGATTATTTTAAGGCCCAGCTTAATTGTGTCATATTGCGTGGGGTAGCGATGAACGCGTGGGGAACTGATGGAGAGAGTGGAGCCAGCGGGTCTCACAAAAGGTGAGGACCAGCGGGTCTCAACACCCATCTTCAGTTTAAAAAAAAAAACGTAATTAAAGGATAAATAGTTAGAAAAAAATTCATTCGTAATATTATACTGATATTAGCCACATGCCATACATTTTAATATTAATAAAAAGCCAATTTAAAAAGTTAGAGAGCTCACTTGTATGTTGGTAGTTAAACATGTATACTTTTTTAAAAACAAATCAGTAATTAAATACAAATCCAGCCATCAGGAAGAAAGTGTGATACAGGTTCACTGATGGAGACTAGAAAGGTGTGACTTCCAGTTGTGGTGATCGAAACAGCTGCTTCAACCCATACCTAAAATTGCCGTTCAGCATGTAATAAACGAAAAAAGTGCTAGAGCAGTTAATGGTACCAAAGAAGTCGGAAATATCTCCAATAAACGCACAGAGTTTTTTGTATTGTGCACCAGTTAAGTCTGGTATGACAAAATACACAGCAAGGATCACATACCTGGGAATATTGCAAATGGTCAGCACACATGCTAGTCCGATGACCACTTTGACCAGCTTTCTTTCACGGGTGGACAGCTCGGGTTACTTAGTGTATACCAGATCATTTTTTTTAAATCAGTAAAATTGTCTTCACGTTGTCTAATTTTTGAGGACGCTCTAAGTGCGTACGTCATCCAGATGGTACACATTACCAAGATAGTCTGGGATGTTATGGAGAGCGCAACTGCGCCAGTCATGTTAATAATAATCTCCAACTCATCCAATTCTTCAGTGTATCTGCCTGTTAAAACTTTCTTTTTTTGTAACAGTGACATTATCTTCGACTGATAGTTCGTCCAGCCAATCTATTTTCTTAAAGATGTATACCGGCAAAATTAGACTAAAATATATTAAATATATTCCTACAATGGTAAAGACACAGCGAGTTCGAGTAAATAAACGCTTGACTTTAAACGGGAACACAACACAGAAACACCGCTCTACTGAGATTACCGTGGTAATCCAACTTGAGATGTAGACGCCAGCATAGCGAAAGTAACCAATACCAAACACTCCCAACACTAACATATCTACTTCACTTTCTGGATTGATGTAGTTTAAGATATAGCAACACAAGATGGCTATGTGTAAGGTAGTTACAATAAAATCTGTGAGTGACAGAGCGAACCCTCCAACCCACATGCTGCTCTTGAGTCCAAGTCGAGATAAGATGATCATGCTGAGCAGGTTTGTGATCACTCCAGTTATGGCGGTCAAGCCATGGATAGGAAAGGTCAGAGTCAGCTCCAAGTTCATGATGAGGTCGTCAGACATTAAGCTATGGTCAAACGTTGAATTGCCTTTTGAAATAATATTGACAGATGAAGTCCATAAATTAATGTTTTCCATCATTTCTGATCTACGACTAACGTTGATGAGCTCACTTGGACTTATATTGGAGCTTATCCAGTCAGGATAAAATCATCTCCTCTTTCAAGATGGTTAGTTTTTGTTTCTACAATTGTCAAAGCATAGGGTTAGACGTTATTCTTTCTTTGATGTACAATTTCTGTAATCTCGTATTTGCAAAGAAAAGATGAAACCCCACTCAATTTATCTTTAGAGAGGAAGATATTACAAAATGTAAATTTTTAATGACATACTTTTTGTAATGATTTTAAATATTTCTAAGATCAAAAAGAAAAAAAAAACAAAACAAAAAAACCAATCGACTTGTGTAATGTTGATTGAACTGTTTACCGTGTGATTTTAATTTCAGATGGGAGTGAAAAATAATTAAATTTCTGCGATGACATTTTGCTACCTTGAAAGCACTAAATTCTGAGCTTTGTTTCTAAGGCGGTGATTATGTTTACTGTCAACCAGAAATCACCTTTTAATATAAGGGTTTCTTTCCTTTGTAATTTAAGAGCATGTGTACGGATATTATATGATAGTTTAATAGCTTTAATGGTTTCAGAAAACTGAAGAGAGAGTTGGACGAAAATTATTTTGTCAACGTTAAATATGTAAAAATGTAATTACATGATTAACCACTTTACTTAACTGTTGATAAAATTATATAAACATTCTGTAAAACAGTTACTTTCTCATGTTGGAACTTTGATCTAGATCAACATGGATCTTTTCAATTGCACGTTTGCCGTAGCAGTGACTTCTCATTGAATTGGGTCATAAAATCTGATATTTAGTAAGCTTTGTAAAAGTACATTAAAACAATTTTCGAGGATGAGTCAGAGAAGTTATAAAATGTCTATTTCTGCGCCAGGAAACAGTTGCGATAATGTTACCGTTTAGGATAATGTTAACAGTTGAGATAATGCTTCCAGTTGAATGTTACCAGTTGAGATAATGTTACAAGTTGAAAAAAAATGTTAGCATTTTAGGATAACTGTTGTAAAAATTAAAAGCTTTATATTCTGTGGTCGATATCATACACGGTTTTGTTTTTAAATTACGGTCAGAGGCGGGCCCGAGAGAATCTCCGAGTGATTTCCTTAATTTGCCGCAGTAGGGGCTGGCAGGGGCGTTACTTATAAATGTGTCTGTGTGTGAGTATGGGGTGGGCTTCTCGGTCCACTGGAAGGAGAAGATGGGTATTTCAGATTTTAAAGTTCGTGAATACCTTTATTTGTATCCATAAATAACTTATAAAAGTAAGTAGGTATGTTTCCTACATAAGTGAAATTCTACATTTATTCCTTTATTCGTATCAATTATATAGACATTTAGATATATACATTTATATAAAAAAGGGGAAAAAAAACTAAAATTGAAACAAACGAAGAAAACAAATTTATTAGCGTGCTTGTCATCAGAGAGCGGACATGGTGAGATTTATCTTCTTTTGATGGCTAAGTGATTTTTGAAAAAAAAGTACCAATTTCAAACTACATTACAGCTTTAATAAATTATAAACACAATATATATCGACATTGTCCTCGTGGAAAAATAAAAAGACAAGCTGAAGTATATTAAGAGAGTAAAAGGTACGAGAGAGTATGCTGTTAAACGTTAGATTCCATGTGAAGCAAGCCTAGAAAAACAACAACAAAGGAACCGCAGAATGATTATATTTAAATGAAGCAATTTAAAAAGTAACTGTTTTTTTTCTGTCTGAGACAAGGCGGCCCCGGAATTAGCAAGGGTGTCTGCATTTGTGTTGCCTCTAACGTTGAAGTGTTAGGTATCTCTTCAGAGTTACTTTGCCTACGATTCTCTTAATCTCGCCCACATCAGCAGAGATGGCAACTAAGTAAGTGTTACGCGCTTTCATTTCAAGATCCCAAGAACACATCTTAAATCGGTGAATACAACAACAACGTGTCATAAAAGTTCCCACCTCTGCAGGGTATTGTTCACACCTGCCACGGCCGTGTGTATAGCCCCTAGAGCTTCGCGCCACTAAATTCGAAGCAGCAGTCCCACAGTGCCCTGAAAGCCTATCTTTTGGTAGCCATCCAACTGGGTATGGGATGAGCGAACCGTACTCTGCGTTCTTTCTCACGTGTTGGCCGATCCGTCCTTGAAACATTTCACTGTTAATTTCTACAAATCCGTGTATCGTCTCACGGGCAGCAGATTTCTGGACATGTGCAGGGCTGCGTTTCATAAGTGAAGTATCGTTCAGAGCCAAACGTATATCGGCACGATTGGGTTCCAGATATGGCGGAATTAAGGTCAGACGCTCTCTTTTATTTGGGAAGTTCGAAATTCCTTTCAGGTTTTGCAACTTTGAGCATAAAGGACAACAATTTTAGCTGACTCCACACTATCCAGTTGTTTTGTATTTTAAAGCAGGGTTCTTTTTCGTTTAGCCTCCTATACCGTTCTACTGTAATTAATATTGCATTGTCCCTTTTAAGTCTAGCTCCTTTATGTTGGCTATGCTTTCCACAGCAGCAGTAAGTGTGGTTTTGAAAGCACCACAGACGAATCTCAGAGCCCGATTCTAGATTCAGCCCAATTTTTTTTCAATGCAGTTTTGCTTGCAAAAACTTAACAGGTATGCTGTAATCCATTACCAACTTTACACTACCCAGGAAATGATCTCACAGTATACCGGCTCTGACACCGCTATTCGTATACCGTGCTAAATTTTTTCCTTATCCAGAGCTTGAAATAGGAAACAAAAAAAAAAACTGATGCTTTTGAAAACAAAATTTAATCAGAAGCAAAACGGAGATACATTTAGAAATGATGTGCACCTGGAGCTTTATTTCTTGCATTATTTTATGATTATAATCAGCTAAAGAATCGCTCCACACCAGCGCTGTTAGTAAGCTCAATTAGATGTGGGGCAGTGTTGACATGCAAGGATAAATCGTAGACATCACGTTTGTTTACATTGCCCCGCACATCCCCTGTAACCACAATGTAAGGTGAGTGTCTTCGCTTCATCTGTTATAATCAGATGATCACATTCGCACCCTAGTATCACAATCAGGCAGTGGCATATGCACTGTAGAATCACAGTTAAGTGAATGGAATTTTTCAGAGTCTCTTTTTGTATAGGTTCGTTTTTTTCCCGATATTTTTAGGCAGCTATAATTTTTTTAAAGCAATTTTCCTTGTTAAAACAAACTAAAACAGAATGTCGATGTACATTGTAACGTCTCATTACTAAAACATTTCTATATAGATTTGAGAGGATACGAGATTTTGCACGAAAGAAATACAAGTTTTATGACGAGACAAAAAATGTTTCAGTCATGATCGACAGAGAGAAAGAAAGAGAGAGAGAGAGAGAGAGAGAGAGAGAGAGAGAGAGAGAGAGAGGGGGGAGGGGTGGGGAGGGGTATATTTGATTGCTATAAAGGGGGATGTCTTTTTCTATTGTCCAAGGATCGTATGATAATTTGAGCAACATAATGATGTGTTAAGATTATTCCAGGTTCAGCTGTACTGAAGGAGCTATTATTTTACATTGAAGCATTTAATTTGAATCGTGCAAAAAGGAACCCGGCTTTGAGGTATAGCTACACATCATTTAACACGAAAGAAAAACAAGATTTATAACGAGAAAAAAAATGTTTCAGACATGAGAGAGAGAGAGAAAGAAAGAGAGAGAGAGAGAGAGAGAGAGAGAGAGAGAGAGAGAGAGAGGGGGGAGGGGTGGGGAGGGGTATATTTGATTGCTATAAAGGAGGATGTCTTTTTCTATTGTCCAAGGATCGTATGATAATTTGAGCAACATAATGATGTGTTAAGATTATTCCAGGTTCAGCTGTACTGAAGGAGCTATTATTTTACATTGAAGCATTTAATGTGAATCGTGCAAAAAGGAACCCGGCTTTGAGGTATAGCTACACATCATTTACTTCGGTAGACTGGCGTTACCTATGTGCCGCAAACGAGCTGGACATTCTATAGAATATATATTGATTTTCTTTTATTTGCATCTAATTTCTAAGCATTATATGGGGTGCGTCCAAGTTTTTTGTAAAATAAGTAGCTAACCAGTGGTGCCGCTTACTTTTTTGTGGGTCCCACAAACATGGGTTTGCTCCAAAATCATGTTTGCTGTTTCTAAACTTGATTCCAGTACGTTAGATATGGCTCATTAAAAAAGACACAATAATATAGTTTTTAAAAAAAATTATTAAATGCATACTCTTACTCTGAATAATTTCTTTCCTCTCAGTTCACAGTATTGTTATCCAATCCATGTTTACGTTGCCAAGCTTTGACAACAACAAATGATTTGGATGCGGATGTGAAATGAACCAATATATTTCCTATTTCTTCTACGAATACAGATAGCAATTTCGTACCCCATAGAATATAAAGGTATTATATTGAATGACTAAGGAAGTTATGGAAAACCTAAATCTAACGACTTGGGGAAAAATTATGCAATAAATTTAGTTATAAAAATAATTTTGGAGTCTAGTTGATTGAAGCTTTTCTTTGCAGTTTGAATGAATGCAGGTGTTAAATTTATTAAATTGTTTTAAAGTTGGAAAGGTTCTAGTTATGCAAGAATGGTCTAGGGAGGGTAGGGGCCTGGGGGCTACTTTTCCACTGTTATCTGTTTAATACTGGAACAGTGGACCAGCCCATTATTTATCTTGTGCATCCTTTTCTTTCAATGTGTTAATTTTGTAACAATGTTTCCTAAATAACAGAGGTAAAATATACTTAGCCTTTATTGATTATTCCCCACCTATTTCTTAATAATTCCTTTTTTCTTTTTCTAGACGAGAATCTTTCTAGAAACTAAAAAATAAAAAAAAAAAAAAAACAAAAAAAAAAAAAAAAAAAAAAAAAGATTTTTGTGAACTAGCAGTCAATTCAATATTTTTTTGGTTGTTTATAGTTTCATA